TAACTATATACTTTTCTGACAATAGCTCGATTAGATCTCATTTAAATATTCATGGAGAACTACCAGACATTATTCGGAACATACTTGTTGACAACACTAATATAATAGCATCATCCACATGCAAAAAAAGGCTACAAAATAATGGAAGCCTTATGAATAAAAACAAATACTTAATAATATTAACTTTGAACATGGACATTATATCTTGACCGTGTTTTGAAAGAAAAAAATGAGAACATTTTATAAAACATACATACAAGCTATTTCTAATTTTAACAGTTAAAATATAATCCATGAAAATGGCTAAATGTATAGCTGAAAGCGCTCGGATAAAAAGAACATTCGGACAGTTTTTATATAATTTATCATCCGAAAAGAAAAAAATTATTAAACCGCATAAGAAATTGTATAAAAAACTAAATAAAAGCACCTTGTTTTTTAATGAAATGTGCATATATATATATATATATATATATATATATATATATATATAGAGAGAGAGAGAGAGAGAGAGAGAAAGAGGTAGATAGATAGATAGATAGATAGATAGATAGATAGATACGTACATACATACATACACACAGATATATATATATATATATATATATATATATATATATATATATATATATATATATATATATGGGCACGTGGCCGAGTGGTTAGATGGTTCGCTTTCAGACCATGAGCCCCGGTTTGATTTGTCCGAAGGGAGACTTTCTGATGTTATCGCCTTGGAAGGGGATGATCCCAGCATGCGTCACCTTTGAAAGGTGCCTGAAAACCATACCACGGGTTGACCCAAGCCTTGTGAGTAAAATTGGGTCGACAGAACACTTGGTGGTCCGTTGGTAGCTGTGCTAGCACGGAGCCACAAGTCATCGTGGCCGTGGTTTTGAACGTGCTGGCCTTGTTCAAACTTCTAGATAACATGCTCTTTCCCAGAAACTGTAACTATGGCTGCTCAGCATCGTTGCAGTATAAACCACAGGTGGACTCTGTGGGTGCTGTGCCTGAGGGAGCGTCTGCAAAAGGGATTGGCTAGCCGCCATAGTAGACGAGTATGCTCGAATACGAGAGACCAGCTATTATTATTATATTCGTATTTTTATTTTAAAATATTTTACATAGGTACATATAAATTTCTGTTTCGGGTCTAAAATTGTTCCGTCATCTGGAGATATAAGGTAACTTATGATGAAAATTTATTTACTTTTGAAAACAGAAAACAATATGGTAGCTTATCTAAAATTTAAAAACGAGAGGGAATAATATTTCAAAGTTTTGCTGGTATATCTAGGTTATACTTTGTTTTACAAAAGACAGGTCAATCTTATTCTTTATTTGGATATAAAACAAAAGTATATATATATATATATATATATATATATATATATATATATATATATAAAAATATAATATAATAAAAAATATAATAATCCGTTGGTATATAATCCAAGTGGATATTATTAATATAAAATATTAAACTGATCCACAAAAAGAGCTCAATGTATTTATTATTACAGAGCCAATAAACAGAATTATACAATAAAATCTAAAATTACCTACTATGAGAGATAGATCTATTTCAACCGACGAAAACTTCGTCAGTCTTATTCAACCACGGTATATAGACTGAGTTTGTGTCAGAATTAGAAGTTTAACTAAATTAGACACTAACTCAGTCTATATACCGGGGTTGAATAAAACTGGCGAAGTTTTCTTCATTTGAAACAGATCTATCCTCCATATGAGGAAATTTTGGATTTTATTTAGTATGAACAACGCCAGCGCACTCAAACCCTCGGTCACGATGACTTGTGACTTCGTGCTAGCACAGCTATCGAAGTGCCTCCAGTGTATCCAATTTCACTCACAATGCTTTGGTCAATACGGGAGCGAAAAATAACCTATAGAGGTTGATATGCCGCTAAACAAAATCGGCCAACCAACCCAACAGCCTGCAAGTAGTATGTACTGTCTAGAAGCCAATTCATGTCTGTGAAAATCGTTTGATCCGTACCAAACCATTACTTAACATTGTAAAAAAGCCCTCATGTACATTGCATGCTTTGGTTCTCCTATGATGAGCGAAAATCTCGACTAAGATCTTAAGTCGAAACAAAATTAATGGAGATTTCTTTACCAAGAATCGTCGTAGGTCAAGACTGTCATAAGCCGTGAACTGACTGTATTTCGGAATTATTAATCAGAAAGCCGAGTTCTAGTTCCAGTTGGGTTCGTTAAATTCACTTACGCGGGAAAGGTATAAATCCACATCTCCCACCCCACCTATGGGTTAATTAGTAAGACTTGTGTCACTAAAACCATTATTATCTCGAAAAAATAATATAAAATTGCGTACATAATATTTAGATTTCAGCATTAAATAACCCGTAAAGGTTGGTATGCCGCTAAACAAAATCAGCCAACCAACCAACCAGCAATTAGTATGTACTGACGAGAGGCCAAATCATGTCTGTAAATATACAGGATAATCGTTTGATCCATACCAAACCGTTACTTAACATGGTTAAAAAAAAAAAAAGCCTCACAAACATTGCATGCTTTGGTTCTTCTAGGTTGATTAAGAGCAAAGGTCTAACATGAGAAATAATACATGTGAATTTTCTTCTGATGTCCGTTGATGGTTTTAGACATGGTTAGTAATGAAGGGCTATAGTCTCTCAGAAATAATACTTCTGGCTACGTTGTGGTGTTGGAAAGAGTTGCCAAGCTGTGGATGGACGAAGTACGCAGTGGAAAGCCATATGTACATCAACAAGACTGGGTACCTTCTCACAAAGCCTATATAATCCGAGAATGGGTGTCACACAATATTTATGATTATACAACACCAAATCTTTTAGTTTCGAAACTCGCCAGATTTGAATTCCATGGAACGTTGCCGAAACGGTGACTCATCGACATCCTCACGATAGATTCAGTGAAATCCGACATTGTAAATGGCGTCGGATAGGAATAAGAACCAATTAGCCTGCACTAATCAGTCCTTATTCATTTCCGACGATTCTGTTGCCGCATAGAAGCAGTCATCTTATCAAGAATATGTGCACAAATCTTTAATGATTTTACGGCCATATTTCTTACAAATGTTTATATTTTGATGTGATGATTATAAATCAGATCCTAAAACTCGCCTCCTTTTTCTACGTGCCATGACGTGGGCGATGATGGCTCTCCACAGTCTGCTATCCTTTGTCGGCCTTAGCAACAGCCTCCGTCCAGCCAGCCATTTATACAAGCTTGTGAAATAGATGGTCCATTGTCTTCACCTATCCCTCTTACTCTCGATATACTGTGGGTGTCAAATTCTCCAAGTCCCCCTTCCTCATTATGTAGGCAATACATTTCAACTGTAATTTTCTGATTCTGGGTATGTGATATTTTTTTTCTATTTCTCTCTAAACATCTTCGTTGCTTACACGCTATGTTCATGGAATTCTCAGTATCCTTCTGTAGAACCACATTTCAATCTTCTCTTTGTCTGTGAGAAGGTTGTCCAGCATACACTGCCATACAAGAGGGCTGATATTGCATAACAGTTTAACACTTCATTTTTTTTCTAACGAAATTTTCCTGTTTCTACGTCCTTTGCTTAGCTTCTTGAATGCATCTTTTGCTAAGACTTCTTACCTTCTGTATTTGTTTGATGCTAACATCTTAAAAATCGCCTACGTCTTTTTTAAAGTTACTTATTTTAGAAGCGCATGCATATTACAAGCTTCGTGTGGGCACTGACATCCCCTTTCCGTTGGCCCACGTGAGGAAATGTCTTACTGTAAATCAACATTCGTAACGCTCTCACCAGTCCGAATCCTTCCCAGTCAAGGAATAGCGAATGTTCAGAAATAAGGTGAACATTAAACCAAACATCCGTCGCAGAATATTGAAGATTAACCTAGTCTAATAACTAAGGTTACCGGAAAGTGGTACTCATTCATCTTCAAATTTTATTGTTTAATTACCACTTCTGATTTGTTTACATAAGTTAAGCAACACGATTTAGTTAAAACAGGTGACCGCTCCACGTTTGTTTAAGATTATTTTTTATTTGATTTCATTCGAGATTAACTGGACTCTATTATTTTTTCAATGTCTGCCTATTAAGCATCATGCCAGGACTACATATGCCAAGGTGGGGACACAGATTTAACGGTTTTAAATTCAGAGTTGACATTCTCCTAGACTGGTTTCCAACTGCAGCTACAGAGACCAGTTTGTCCTACTTTTTAACACATAGCTCTGGTTAGAAGCGATCGATTACTACTTTTCCAAGGAGTATTTTTCTAAAAGTGAATATTGCTCGGCCGCAATTCGAGAATCTTCAACAGATCTGTAGTTAGCAATGGAATTGATTAAGGGTACGAATCCAGCATTTCCTGTTGTTTATTACCTTACTATTTATCTGGAGCAGTCTTATCGTTAACGGGTAACTGTAGTAGAGAAAATAGTAGGGTAACATAGTCACTACCAACAGCCTTTGAGAAAAGCTTGTAAACCGTAGAACTACAGCAGATTCACACTTTCAGAAATTTACTAAGCTTTGCTTATAATGGCTTAAAATTATTTGGCGGCATAAGATTAGGTTGCTCCATTTTAAAAGTTGTGAGGTCTGAATATATGTTTACTTAGTAGTGTTGCTTCACTAGTCTCGCCAGTGAACGTTGACTTTGGTAGGAAAGGCAAAACCATCTCAGCCACCAAGTTAAGCCAATACACACACACACACACACACACACACACACACACACACACATATATATATATATATATATATATATATAAAAAGACATTTTTTATGTTTATACGTTCTTTTTATAAATACAAATATTTAAGTAAATTCTCTGTTTATAAATAATAAACAGTATTAACAACATTTAATAAACAGTATTAACAACATTTACCGGCATGATTTTCTCTCATTCATTCATGACGTGCCTTAAAAAAATGTCTTAAAAATAATTGTCGGACTTTGTTCATTTCATAATATATGACGTCATTTGTTTACATTTGGATACGCATTGAGCAGATATGAATGAATGAGTGAAAATCATGGAGAATTGTGTTTAAAAACAGTAAAATCGACCTTGCTAACTGAGCGCTACTCTGTGGCCCAATCGGTTAAGGCAGGCTATATAGGATACAGGTTCGATTCCTGTCTGAGGACGCATATTTTCTATGAAAATTTCTCGGACATTCAGTAAATGTTGTTAATACTGTATATTATAAACAGAGCATTTACTTAAATATTTGTATCTAGAAAAAAACGTATAGACATAAAAAATGTCTTTAAAATAATTGTCGGACTTTGTCCATTTCATTATATATATATATATATATATATATATATATATATATATATATATGCCCGACAGGATGCATCAAAAATCAGATAGAATACGTCACAATCAACAAAAGATTTAGCAATGTTGTCCTTCCTTAAGTCTCATACGTGATACACGCTTGGCCTTTTCTCGATTCTTGGCAGAGGAATTCCCACAGGATACTGCCGTTACTTTCTGCATAGACTCATTGCCAGGCAAGGCTATAGGACTTACTGTGTTCCGCTATTTAACCCATACATGTTAGGTGAAGAGGTGGATTTATACCTTTTCCAATTGATCTTTACGCAGAAGTGAATTTAACGAACCCGACTGGAATTCGAACTCGGCTCTCCTAATTCTCATTCCGTTATCCATTACTGCACCCGCACATCCAAACTTATTCCAGAGCCCCCCCCCCTCTAGGTACTGACCAGACACAACGTTGTTTAAGTTGAATGATCGGATGTGAATAGGTGTTTCAGTGTGATATGACTGTTAATATTCCACTGTAAAACATATATAAGTACTATAATAAAAATTATATAATAAGAACTATATAAGACCATATATAAGAAAAATAAGAACTATATAATAAGAACTATATAAGAACATATGTAAGAACAATATAATAAGAACTGCATAAGAACGAAAGAACTATAATAAATTATAATGCATAATTCATATTCTTTATACATATATTGTCAATTGTTTTATATTTATTGTTTTGTGTCACTCATTTTTACCTGGACTCACATTGAGTCTACCAATATTGTTTGCGAGATAAATTTCGCAGGAGATCGTAAATATTTAGTAACCAAATTGTTGTTCCTGCAATATAATCATGATAATATTTAACCTAACATACGAGTAATCCAACATTACTATTCATGTGTTTTTGCGAATTAATCATACTTATTATAAAACCCAGCTTGTGTGTGTGTGTGTGTGTGTGTGTGTGTGTGTGTGTGTGTGTGTGTACGTTTATATATTGGATCGGATTTCCTACATTTTTCAACCGATTTCAACAAAACCTCACAGGACTACGTAAAATTACCTTGCGGTGGTTCTGACAGCGCCAAAATTGGAAAAACACAATTGTTTTTTTTTTTTTTTTTTTTCAATTTGAAAACAGGATTAATAGGCATCACGAGAATGAAAAGGGGACAACTCATATCGAATTATACATATTATAAAACCCAGTTTGTTTGTGTGTGTGTGTGTGTGTGTGTGTGTGTGTGTGTTTATATATGGGATCGTGTGTTCCTTATATTTTTTCAACCGACTTCAACAAAACTTCACTTTTTTTGGCAGGTAGTGTTTCTTATTGTCTTGCACACTTTTTTCTTTTTTTTACATTCAGAATGTTTTAAAAATTCTATTTACAAGACAATTGTTTATAATAAAATTCTATTTAATCAGTAGACACATAACGATTGAAAACAATGTTTTTGTTTGAGTTTGGGTTTGACCAAATCGTAAGAAAAAAAAAATAATAATAATTAAGACATGCGTGTCCGTCAACCTTAAACAATAATCTTTGTCAATTTTATTTTTCAGTCTTTATGATGGTCGATACTTGATCTATCTCTTACTGTTACATCACCGGGCAACGCCGGGCTCTACTGCTAGTCAATGATAAATGTCTTTTTAGATGTATTTATTGATTTGAATAACAACTTCATTCATAAAAAGCAACAAATTGATATTTACTTCTTTATAACAGTGAATTACCCAGATATAGAACCAAAATAAATAAACCATATGACAAAGGAACACATTTAATATCTTCGTCATGTACAAAGGATCTTATAACAAACTTAATAGAAAACATTAATCAACATTAATTTCCCGAAACATATGAGAAAATCAAACCTTAGAAAACATCAGAAAACATCTGAAGGAAAGAAAAGCAAGAAAACAAACAAATGGATGACAAATTAAATGTTCGAGTTCATGATAACGCATAGAAATGTAGTAGAACATTTGATGTTAAACAAAGTATTACAAATAAATGCAAGCGGTCAAAAATACAAAAGCTTGCTCAACAAGAATTGTGCAAAAATCGAAAACTGTAAAACACAGACGTAGTAGGCATGTATAAAAAGATTTAAAAAAAACAACAGAAGAGAAAACGCGTTCTTCGATAGAATACATAAAATCTAAATAAGAAATACTTATAAGCCAAAAGAAAAGGTACTCAAGAGAAGGAATGAATAGATTAGAGAACTCTTAAATGATAACTGAAAAAGACAATTCATAAAAACATGTAATAATAAAGCTAGGCATTAAATCAGCAATGGCCAAGATAGAACAGAACTAAACACCAGAGGAGATTGCAATATGCTGACAGATTTAAACGATTTGGGGATTGATATTGTTACCGAAGTAATAAATAAGATATACGACAGCGGTGAAATACCTGAAAACATCATTACATCATTTTTATTATGATACTAAAGAAACCAGGTACAAATGAACGTGAATTTCATCAGATAGCCAGCTTGATGAACTACCTGCTTCTTGTTCGTACTTCTTTGTGTCGTGTCTCTTCAGGGCATGGGAGATCATGTCTCTCTACAATTTCAAGTACTTTGTAGCTCTTATGAAGTTTGTCTTTTTCTATCTCTCCTAATCTGCTAGCCATTTACAGAAATTCATTAGTTAGGTTATGCGCTAGTTTCCTCTATGCTTCCCGCCTCCTATATGTCCTGTGAGTTAAATTTTCTAATGCCTCTTTCCTTATGTTATGTCAACTGTCATTTTCTGATGTTAAGTATATGTGTCCTTTTTTGTTTCCGTTTTCCGTAAAACTTTGTTGTTGCTGCTATGTTCTATCAATGGTATTCTCATCATCCTTCTGTAGGACAACATTTATGCCGCCTCAAGTCTCTTCTTGATCTGTGATGAGATTCTCCATCATTCACTGCCATATAGGAGGACGGATATTATTTAACAGTTCAGTATTCTTTTCTGTGTTTCTAATGAATTTTTTTGTTTCTTAATATTTGCTCGACTGTTGAAAGGCATCTTTATTATTTATACAGGCCAATACAGACCTACTGACTTAAGCCCCGTGTCATATCTTACTTTCTTATATATATCTATATGAAATAAAAACATTCATTTACCTACTTGATTGTATACAGTTTTTGGTAATACCACTCAATGTTAAATCACTGACTATTTGCAGAATCTATGTTAAATATTTATTTGAAAATGCTAATTATCACTGAGCTTCTAGGTTTCTTTCCTTCTTGTTCTTAGGACCATTATTCATAAAGCTGGAACCAGGGTTAGAAAGAAAGAAAGAAAGAAAGAAAGAAAGAAAGAAAGAAGTTCATAACTCTTTGGAAAAATGAATGAAATAGGCAATTTTACGCTGCAAAAAGAAAAAAGAAAGGAAAAAATGATTAATGTTCTAAAAACAAAAATTTTGCAGAAAGAAAAAAGAAAGAAAAGAAAGAAAGAAAGAAAAGAAAAAAAAAATCTACTTGGATTGTATAGATCGAAGAAAAGAAAAAGAAAGAAAGAAAAAGAAAAAAAAGAAAGAAGAGAACAATTCTTGGATGAAGAACATGAAGGAAAGGAAGAAGTAAGGAAAAAAAGAACTGTAAGGAGAAAAGAAAAAAGAAAAAGAAAAGAAAAAAAGAAAAATTAATAGATTAAGTTAAGGAAAAAAGAATTGATAGATCGGAGAAAAGAAAAAAAAAGAAAGAAGAAAGAAAAGAAAGAAAAAGAAAGAAAGAAAGAACTAATAGATCTAAAAAATTACAAAGAAGAAGTAAAAAAAAGACGATAGAAAGGAGAAAAGAAAGAAAGAAAGAAAGAAAGAAAGAAAGAAAGAAAGAAAGAATTAATAGATCTAAGGATGAAGAATGAAGGAAAGTAAGGAAAAAGAATTGATAGATCGAAGGGGAAAGAAAGAAAGAAAGAAAGAAAGAAAGAAAGAAAGAAAGAAAGAAAGAAAGAACTAATAGATCTAAAAATGAAGAATGAAGGAAAGAAAGAAGTAAGGAAAAAAGAAATAGAAAGGAAAAAGAAAAAAAAAAAGAAAAGAAAGAAAAAGAAAAGAAAAAAGAAAGAAAAGAAAAAGAATAGATCTAAGGACGAAGAATGAAGGAAAATAAGGAAAAAAATTGATAGATCGAAGGAGAAAGAAAAGAAAGAAAGGAAAAAGAAAAGAAAAAAGAACTAATAGATCTAAAAATGAAGAATGAAGAAAGAAAAGAAAAGAAAAAAAAACTGAAGGAAAAAGAAAAGAAAGAAAAAAGAAAATTCAAATAGATCTAAACGAAGAATGAAGAAAGTGGAAAATAATTGAAAGAAAGAAAAAAGAAAAAAGAAAGGAAAGAAAAGAAAGAAAGAAAGAAAGAAAGAAAGAATTAATAGATCTAAGGATGAAGAATGAAGGAAAAGGAAAAAATTGATAGATCGGGGAAAAAAGAAAGAAAGATCGAAGGAGAAAGAAAGAAAGAAAGAAAAAAAAGAAAGAAAGAACTTAGAAAAAAATGAAGAATGAAGAAAACAAATAAGGAAAAAAGAACTTCAAGGAGAAAAGAAAAAGAAAGAAAGAAAGAAAAAGAAAGAAAGAAAAAGAAAAAAGAAAAAAATTAATAGATCTAAGGACGAAAAATGCAAAAATAATTGAAAAAAGAAAAAAAGAAAAGAAAGGAAAAACTAATAGATCTAGGATGAAGAATTATGAATAAAGAAAGAAAATAAAGGAAAAGGAAAAGAAAAAGAAAAGAAAAGAACTAAAAATCTAAAATGAATCTAGATCTAAGGAATTGAAGAAAGAAAAGAAAGAAAGAAAAGAAAGAAAAGAAAAGAAAAGAAAGAAAAAGAAAGAATTAATATATCTAAGGACGAAGAATGAAAGGAAAGTAAGGAAAAAGAATTGATAGATCGAAGGAGAAGAAAAGAAAGAAAAGAAAGAAAAGAAAAAGAAAGAAAAGAAGAAAGAAAAGAAAGGAAGAATTTTGAAAATCTATTGATCAAGAAAGAAAAGAAAGCAAAAAAAAAATAGAAAGGAGAAAGAAAGAAAAAAAAAAATGAAGAATGAAGGAAAAAGATAGAAAATCGGAACTAAGTTTAAGGGATTTCCTAAAAAATGAAGAATGAAAGAGAAAGGAAAAAAGAACTGATAGATCTAAGGAAAAAAAGGAAAGAAAAGAAAAGAAAGAAAGAAAGAAAGAAGGAATTTCTAAGGACGAAGAATGAAGGAAAGAAAAAAGAAATAGAAAGAAAGAAAGAAAGAAAGAAAGAAAGAAAGAAAATAATCTAAAAAAAGAATGAAGGAAAAGTAAGAAGTAAAAGAAAAAGAACTGATAGAAAAGAAGAAAGAAAAAAGAATGGAAGGAAAGCAAGAGGAAAAGAAAAGAATGAAGGAAAGCAAGAGGAAAGAAAGAAAAAAAAAGGAAGAAAAGAAAGAATTAATAGATCTAAGGATGAAGGAAAGTAAGGAAAAAAAATTGAATCGAAGGAGAAAGAAAAGAAAGAAAAGAAAGAAGGAAAGAAAGAAAGAAAGAAAAGAATGAATGAAAGTGGATGAAGGAAAGGAAAAAGAATTGATAGATCGAAGGAGAAAGAAAGAAAGAAAAAAGAAAGAAAGAAAGAAAAAGAAAGAAAGAAAAGAAAAGGAACTTCAGGAAAAATGAAAATGAAGGAAAGAAAGAAGTAAGGAAAAAAGAACTGATAGATCTAAGGAGAAAGAAAAGAAATTAAGAGAAAGGATGAAGAATGAAGGAAAGTAAGAAAAAGAAAAGAATCTAAAAGGAAAGAAAGAAAGAAAGAAAAGAAAGAAAATGAATCTAAAAATGAAGAAAAGAGGAAAGAAAAAGAATGAAGATAGATCTAAGGAGAAAGAAGAAAAGAACTGAAGGAAAGTAAGGAAAAAGAATTGATAGATCGAAGGAGAAAGAAAGAAAGAAAGAAAGAAAGAAAGAAAGAAAGAATGAAAGATCGTTTGACAGGGATAAATGCTGGGCGTAAAATTAACGGAGCATTATTTATAAAACCGGAACTAGGGTTAGGAATTTCTGCTTTCCAGGGGTTTCTTATTATTTCTCACAATTAAAGGATATTTTATATATGCGATAAATGGCCTGCTTGTAAATGAATAGAATAAAAAAAAAAACGTCACAGCATACTGGATGTGTGGGTGTGGGGGGGGGGCTCTTAAGGGGTAATTACCCTATGGTTACTTTTCGTCCGGTTGCATGCTGTGGGACTCAAAACAGAATTAGTCTCTTCAGAGAAAACTAGGTTTATATTCTCCAACAATATCAAGCAACAAGAACAACAACTGAGTGGGTTGGGCGATTCACTGGGAATTGTGCAAACACCAACAATTTCACGATACAAAACAATGGCAGAAGGGAAATAATGTGAAAAACTGTAAAAGACGAAGGGGCTAGTTATGCCCATCATTGCTGGAGAACTTTGGACACTTCCGATGAATCACTACAATCTTGACCTCTTCAAATCTAGAGTTAAAGGTTATCTTTCCTGCATAATCCCATTAAATTTACTTCTTGATTTTTCTTATACGATATCACACAGTAGCCCTCTACCTTGAATGGATCTTGAGCCTTGTATTGGGTAAATGTCAGCATAAAAAGGTTACAATATAATGTGATTATATTCTCTAGTGGCAGAATGAGGTACGGTGGAGTAATTGCTAGCGGCTCGGATTGAGAAATTAGAGAGCCGAGTTCGGATTCCAGTCGAATCTATTACATTCACTTACGTGCTAATTCCCATGGGAAAGGTTCTATCCTCAGCTATGAGTAAATAGCAGAACAGACTAGGTTCTATAGCCTTGGGTGGCAACCTGTCTAGGACAAAGTAAGTCTGTATGTATCCCTGGCGTAGCGCATACTATTAAATCTAAAGAAAGGTTCGTTCTAATTGGGGCGATGATCCCGACTACGGTCGACCTATAGATAGTGGCAGAATAAAATTCAGCTATTACACTATAATAATTTGGGTCTGTTAATAATTTTACAATATTTGGTATGTTGCCTGGTAACGGAATAAGACTAGGGTAAAACAATAGTCAGAGGTACACTGTCATTTAAATCGTCATTTCCTGTCATCAATTGCAATATAAACGGAACTGCGATTTCATTGATGAATCGACTTCTATGAATCCAATATTGAGCATATGGCAGACTTGAATTTACATCCGGGCTTGTTCAATGCTTGTTGCTTCAAATGTTGAGTCTGTTTTGTGCTCATTACACTGTTGATGGCCTGAGCACCATCTGTAGGTCCTCCATCCTAGGCAATCTTAAGAGAGACTTCTTCAAGGGCACGGTAAAATCTGTCTTGCTCTACGGCTCAATAACATGGACAATGACGAAACACCAAGAAGCATCACTTGACGGAACATACACGAGAATGTCGAACTCGACCGTTTATTTCGCTCACTGGGGTAGATTGTTCTAGTTTCACGTGCCATCTTTAATGGATGTCAGTTATCAGTTATATCCTGTTAATTTCCCTCTGAAAGTTCTCCATTGCCTTAACCGGGAATTGAACTCACACCCTTTGGGTCCTGTCACTGGATCTAACCAACACAAAGTGGATAAAGACTGTCTATCTTTCATAGATGAGGTATTGTAATTATTCACACTATTTACATTGTTCGGACTGTTGTCCTCATCTTTATTGCCATATTCACGAAGTTTCGGTCGTTGTACGCTCCCGACTTCTTCAGGATCTGTCTATCTTTCATAGATGAGGTATTGTAATTATTTACACTATTTACATTGTTCGGACTGTTGTCCTCATCTTTATCGATATATTCATTTTTCGGCCGTTGTACGCTCCGGACTTCTTCCGGATCTGTCTATGTTTCTTAGATGAGGTATTGTAATTATTTACATTATTTACGTTGTTCGAACTGTTGTCCTCATCTTTATTGTCATGTTCACAACATTTCAGCCCTTGTACACTCCGGCCTTCTTCAGGATCTGTCTATATTTCTGAGATGAGGTAATTTAATTATTTACGCTATTTACATTGTTCGGACTGTTGTCCTCATCTTTATTGCCATACTCACGATGTTTCGGCCGTTGTACGTTCCGGCCTTCTTCAGGATCTGTCTATATTTCTTAGCTGAGGTATTGTAATTATTTATTGTTCGGACTGCTGTCCCTATCTTTATTGCCATATTCGCGACGTTTCGATCTCAAAGACACATAGCCCAGTGGATAAAAGCGTTGGTTGGATCCAGTGACTTTAACCCAAAGAATTGTGAGTTCAATATCTGGCTACTTCACTGGTGAACAAAAACTTGGAGGGTTTAATTAAGGGGGAGATAACTGAGACATCCGGAAGAGGCATGGCACGTGAAACTAGAACAGTCTACCCAGCTGGACGAAATAAAGGGTTCAGTCCAAAATTCCAGTCACCTGAAAAAGACCGGAGCGTACAACGGCCGAAATGTCGTGAATATGGCAATAAAGATGAGGACAACAGGCCGAACAATGTAAATAATGTAAATTAATGCACGATATATTTCAAGATCTGTAGATGATCTGGAGAACTATTATCCAGAAATCTATTGACATCAAAGAATATCGGGCCCAACAAAGGTGGATGGATGGAAAGGTAAGTTAACCTTGCCCCTTCCCGTGAGATAAGAAAATATCTATACGTTTACAAGTACATAAAACTAACATCTAATTTTTTCCGCATCTTTTCAGTGGTTTTACCCTCGGGAGAACGAGTAAAGGACGGCAATCAGATATGCTTTATCTTAGGAAATCACCAAGAACCGTAATGTGAACACTTCCCAAACAGGGGAAAATAACCCACTTTCTACCTGTCTTTGGTTTCCTGATGACCGACAACAGTTTGGTTAGCCACTATTTGGCATCTAACTCCCAAACTTTAAACATGACAAACCAAACTTCGGATAAACGAATCAAATTAAATGTCGGTGGGGTTATATTTGAGACACTCGCCAGTACTTTATCCCGCCAGCCGGGTACACGACTTGCCCAGCTGGCCCACCTTCAGGAATTGGACGAGGCATGGAATGTTGAAACCCAGGAGTACTTTTTTGACCGACATCCGGGAGTTTTTATCGCCATACTTCATTTTTATCGTACTGAAGAATTGCATACAGACCATAACATATGTGGGAATGTTATCAATGCAGTAAGTAAAAACTTTATTATTTTTTAAAAAATATAGTTAGAATTTATACCAATGATGAATGAGAAAATCTAGAGTTTACAACAAAAATAAATAAATCAAAATTAACTCTTTCTATTTATCGTTTTACAAATTTCATTTTTAGTTGTTTTTTTTTTTCATTTTTCCCGATTTTTATCTTTATATTTTTTTCGATTTTCATATTTTTTTTCGATTTTTTTTTTGATCTTCATTTTTCCTTTTATCGATTTTTATCTTTGTATCTTTTTTTGATATTTTATCATATATCGATTATTTTTTTATTTTCATCTTTATCTTATTTCAATTTTCAACTTTTTATATTTTTCGATTTTCATCTTTCTTATCGTTTTTATTTTCACTTTTCCGATTTTCAAAATTTTTTCAGTTTTTATCTTTTTTATTTTTTCGATCTTCATCTTTTTTATCGTTTTTCAATTATCATCTTTTCCTTTTTCGATTGTCATTTTATTTTAATCACTTTCTATTTTCATCACCTTTATGTTTTTATCTTTTTTCAATTTTCATCTTTTTATGTTTTTCGACTTTCATTAGGCTTATATTTTTTAAATTTTCGATTTTTATATCTTTTTTCGGTTTTCGTCTTTTCTTTTTATCTTTTTTCGTTTTTCATTTTCTTTTAATTTTCATCTTTTTTATTTTTTCGACTTCATCTTTTTCATCTTTTTTCAGTTTTCATTTATTTTCGCGTATTGCAATTTTGATCTTTATCTTTTACTTTTTCTATTTTCATCTTATTTTTATTGATTTTTCTATTTTCATCATTTTTATGTTTTTGCTCATCTTATTTTATTTTCCTATTTTTATTGTTTTATTAATTACTATTTACACTTTATTGTTTCCAATATATTTTTTTTTGCAGCTACATTATGTGACAATTTCATATTTTTTATATATTTGTTTAACTATATCCGACAGCCAATTATATATATATATATATATATATATATATATATATATATATATATATATATATATATATATATATATATATATATATATATATATATATATATATATAAATCATTCATATACAAAAACAAATATAGAGGTTAATGATTTAAATGGCGAGAATACATCCTTGCAAACAACATAAATAAGATACACCAACCCCTGAACCTGTATATGAATAATATGATCCCTGTTTATAAATTCCAGTTGCATAAGGTCTTTTAATTTTTTACAAGCTTTCGTCTGTTCCTACAGACATCCTCAGGTATGGAAATAGATTTTGTTCTTGTTTTTTACTTCTCGAATAAGAGGACAACGAAAATAGAGATGTAATCCGAAAATGCTATGAGAAAATGTTTATTGTTTTGGAACTTGCGGTCGCAACGCTGAGTTTGAATTTAAAATTTTAAGGTTGTGCGTTTTTACAAATATAGTAATAAGAGAATTCTTTTTTACTGGTAGATTTTCCGTCAATGTGGCATGAACTATATTGTTCAATAATTACAGGAATGTCACACTTATTATCCGAAAGTTGCACGTTGGATAAGTTATTTTAATTTCAATTAAAGGTGCAATTATAATTTATAAGCTTGTAAAAAATTAAAAAGACCTCATGCAACTGGAATTTATAAACAGGGATCATATCATTCATATACAGGTTGGGGTTGGTGTATCTTATTTATATTGTTTGCGACGATGTATTCTCGCCATTTAAATCATTAACCTCTATATTTGTTTTTGTATGAATGATTCATGAATTTATAAATTATAATTGCACCTTTAATTGAATTGAAATATATATATATATATATATATATATATATATATATATATATATATATATATATATATTTAAAAAAAAAGGGAGGTCATTTGAATTCGGTACCTTAGTTTCAACCTTATAGTATCCTCAGGCGATTTTTATCAAATGGTCTATTAACGCTTTATTTTTTTAAACTAATCAATGCTATATTATTATTTTCAAAAATAAATGAAAAAACGTACGACTGTAAGATCCGATGACAACAACCTAACAACATTTCTAAACTCTACCAGCAGGAAAAATTAACAATTATGACATTTTCGGATCGAAATAAAGTTTTAAACCAGAAAACTGAAGTCTTAAGTCCTTGCTTACATATTAGAAAATTCCTCTTAAGCACATATGAGGCTGGATAAAAAAAAAGGAAGGAACATTTCAATTAACCCCTCAGCGATACATTTACAATTCCCTTGCTTTTCTTCTTCTTCTTCTTCTTCTTCTTCTTCTTCTTCTTCTTCTTTCTTCACATGCTCCTCCTCCTCCCTTTCTATTACAGTTAACGTCGTGCGTTTGTTTATTTATTTTTGAAAAATAACAATATAGCGTTCATTAGTTTAAAAAAAAATAAAGCGTTAAGAGGTCATTTCATAAAAATCGCCTGAGAGAACCGTAAGGTTGAAACTAAGGTAGCAGAGTCAACTGATCTCCTGATTTTAAAATTTAAAAGCTCTATATGTTATTTTTACTTTTATTTTTATTTTTTTCACACGTGCATTGAGCACTTTTTAATACTACTGTTTCCTGGTCTAATTCAACTCTGACTATTAACCTTATATGTATTGACCCTACAAGTGACCCTACAACCACACATGATTATAAGAATGATAATGATAGTGATTCTGAACCATAGGGATAAATGGTAGAATGAATAGCGACAATCTTCCAAGTAAAAGAAATTTGTATGGATTAAAAGCTTGTTCTTGCTTCTAAATATAGACTATTGGCGCCGGTGAGAATAACGAAACTGCTTCAGCCACCAAACAATTTGATTATATATTCGAAATTATGTACAGGGTTATATGATTGTGTTGCGTGAATCTTCCAATTGAAAGAAAGAACCTGTTTGATTGGCTTAAAAAACCGCCATTCGAAATGCTGCACTTTCTCGATTATCCGTACTTTCAGAATTCAATTATCCGAACTTGAAATGAAGAGGAATGGAGACGCCAGATTCAAAGAACTACAGAACTTTAACTATGTCGGAAGTTTTATAACAAACTACGGCAAATGGGACACCGAAATCCGAAGATATATTTGAACAGCGAAAGATGCTTTCCAAAAGTTAGGCAAAGTATTAAGAAACAGGAAGATGTCGTCAGAAAACAAGAAAAGAATGCTCAACAGCTATGTAGTATCAATAATCATATGGCAGAGAATGGTGTACAAGTCTCAGAGAGGAAGAAGAGACTTGAGCCAACAGAAAAATGGTTCTACAGAGGGATGCTGAGAATAACATTAACGGAATATACGAACAACATCAAAGATTTAACTTGTGCTTCAAATCACAGAGACATCAGAAAAGTACGAGACACTTTATGAGTAAAGAGGTTTCGGAGAATTTAACATTTACAGGAAATAATTGGACGCAAGAAAGACAGGATGAAATAGCGAGCAACATACATAACTAGTTGTAAATGGATGGTGTTGTAACCTAAGGAAGATTACTGAATAGAATAGTCACATGAAGGTTGGTAAGGAACGATAATACTTAGAATAAGAACAACACATATAAGATTCGCCAGCGGCGCGTAGAAGTAGTCAAAGTGAGTTAAGTGAATTTCACAATGAATCTCCAACTGCAGGATATCTACCAACCGACCGATGCGGTCAGATGTGGCGCAAGGCCGAATTTAATGTGGGGTATCCGAGCCCGTAGGCTCAGCCAAAATTTTCCCGTAGACCCCGTATAAAACGGGGTCGGGTAGCTGTTACCCGAGACAAGATTACGCACTTCGACATAGCCTCGTCTGGGGATCCTCTCTACCCGGAGGCAGAGAGTTTGACCAGCACAGAGACGAATCTCCAACTGCGGACTAACGTACAGTATTTACTACTGTATTTATGTGAATGGGGACATACCCATTATTGTCCGTAGGTAGGCAAATAGCAAAACAGAGACTGGTTATGATAGAAAGGATAAAAAAAACATTGTTTAGAGTTACAAAGGATATGAAGTTGTGGAGAACCGTGATCACCCACGTCTAGAAGAAAAATAGGGATATGCAAGTAGAGTAACAGTTATCGACGTGGAAATTAGGATAAACAAGCCGACTCCAAATTCCTTTTTAGTCGACTGTCTTCACATTTACACTACTGGCCTTCTCTCAATTAAATAATATATTTGGCTGTACAGTCTTGGATAGCAGTCAGCCTGGATGGACTAGTCTGAAGAGAAAGTAACGAGACGCTAATCCACTATCATTCCCAAGAAAGAAGGCATAGAAATTCCCAGATAATAAAGAGGAAAGTGTGGAGAGTCATGATCGCCTACGTCCTGAAGGGATATGGCATTTATAAAACAAAAATCTAAAAGGTTTTCTGTATTTGTCGATCCTGTAGGCATCGCTGTACGACAGATTTTTTTTATTCATCTTTTAAAATATGTGGGTGTATGTGAATGTTGATGGGTCCGTGGGCAGATGAGCAAATATACAAACCCATAAATAATGGCCAACTAGCTTAATTCTCCTGAGCAGAGGCCCTTCTAATTCCACCGATAAAGTTGCCTCGCCTGACCAGCATCTGTTCACAGATCGTCTTGATTAATAAACGATCAATAAAAAACCAATTTTCAAGATAAAGCTCGTTAGACTGTCTGTTACCTCTTTGCGGGGGAACAAGGGATTTGTGATTAATGGCTGCCTGTGATTTTGCGGTATTGCCCAGTTCTCGCGTGTTCCCATATCATCCGCGTGATTTGGTTGCTAACGCCGGATGAAGCAACGAGGGGAAACCTTGTGTTATGGTCACAGGAAATAAGAAAGAACGAACAATAATGCCAGATAAATAATGATTTCATTATTGTTTCCAGTGGCGCTCCTAAAAAGAAATTTTATTTTTGATTATTGCTTTTCTGTTTATATATATATATATATATATATATATATATATATATATATATATATATATTCTTGGCAGGTTTTATTGATATCTAAATTAGCATCAATGTGCATTGGGCCATAAAGGTTACTTTGCCTTCGTCTTGGAAACTGCTTTCCACACACATATATATATATATATATATATATATATATATATATATATATATATATATATATATTTTTTTAATTCGACGTTAATTAGCGTGTGACATCACCAAAATGTTGTTTAATTGATATGTTTTTTTACGACATATCATGCTTTTGCAGGTTATTTAAAGAATATAATAATGATTTACCGATACAAGTCCTACTTATTAACCCATACCCGAGGGAGAAGAGGTGAATTCATACCTTTCCCAAGTGTATTTACGCGTAAGTGAATATAAAGAAGCCAGATGGAATTGGAACTCGTCCCACCAGTTTTCAATTCGGAATCGTTATCATTAACCACACGCACATCGAAGCTAAGAGCACCTGGTATTCCCACGCGGTCACCTATCTAAGTACAGGCCAGGCTCCAGGTTCCTTAACTTCGGTGATCGTACAGGAACTAGTGTTTCAACATATGGCCGTAAGACTGACCAAAGTGTTGTAGTTTCACTTTATCGTACGAAGACATCTGTGTCAAGAGGTACTTTAAATTTATGAATCTATATTATTATTCTACTTTGTATATATGACTATTACGCTTTTCTCTGTAGGATCAGAGTGTAGTATCTGTCTGAACCCCACCTTTTCTAGATTGGAACCAGTTACGCTTACTGGACGAGAAACTTACATAAAATATAATGCAGGAAGGAACCGAGAAGCTGATGAAGAAGAGAAAAGGTTTTGAATTGGGAAACATGAGAGGTAAAAAATGTGACAAAAATATGGAAAGAAAAGAAGGCGAAAGGAAAAGTATATATATATATATATATATATATATATATATATATATATATATATTTATTCGAAAATTATAATATAAATATGTTATAAAATCACTACAAAAATAGCCATTTTCTTTCAACACTTACTCAAGTGATGGTGTTGAATGTAGAACTCCTACACCATCACTTGATACGACACCTAGAAATGTTGAAACAAAATGGCTATTTTTGTAATGATTTTATAATATATTTATGTTATAATTTTCAAATAAATTATATATATATATATATATATATATATATATATATATGTATATATATATATATATACATATATATATATATATATATATATATATATATATATATATATATATATATATATATATATATTTCTAAATTTTATCTAATATTTGATTTAATAATGATAACTGAACAAATTAGCAGAAATATTTAAAAACAATTTTACGTCCTCATAAAAATAATGTATTTTTTAATAGTTATAATAAATGTTATAATTTTCGAATAATTAATTGTATTTGCTCTACTTTGTATTGAGCACTCTTTTAAGAATAGTATTTCTTGGTTATTGGAATTTATTCCGTATACACCAATCCTATACTTGTATAAATATATATATATATATATATATATATATATATATATATATATATATGTATATATATGTATGTATTATAAAGATGTTACACACGGACAAATATGTACTCATGACAAAGATGCATTTTTGTTTCGATGCGAACACATCTCGACAGGTTATAACCATTTTTGTTCCTCACCTATCGAGAAGCGTTTACATCGACACAAAAATGCATCTTTGTCTTGGGTACTTGTTTGTGCGTATGTAACATCTTTAAAATAAATAAATATTGCTCTACTCTTGGTATTGAGCACTCTTTTACATTTTAATTACTTATGAACGTTTGAATTTATATTCCTTTCGTTCTCGTTACATTTATATATATATATATGCATATATATATATATATATATATATATATATATATATATATATATATATATATATATATATATATGCCGGGTATAACAGCAAAATTGTGCAAATCGTGTAAAAGTATAACTGTCCATCCCACAAAATATTTAATATCAAAACAAAACACTAAATTAATTGTATTTATATTTTCCGGGTTTTCAGCTAAGATGTTTAGCCATCTTGACACCATTTGTAGTAAGAATCACTGAAAAACCCTTTGACTTATTCAGCTAGAAAGAGAACAAGTTAAAATTGTTTTATGTCAGACCCATGTCTTCCCAAATGAGCAATGGTGAGAGGAAAAATCATTTAGGCCTTCAGTAATGGTATAAACATTCATACCCTGGGCTCTATCCAATAACCATCATTTCAACTGAGAACTAAAGTGGTCAATTAGAAAACATACCACTGAATCAATAGGATATATATATATATATATATATATATATATATTAACTTGATTCCAACAAGCTTCCGATCCTGAGCGATGATTAATTAATGATGAACATATCATTTTTGTTATGACCGATTTCATCACAATTCTTCTGTTAACTTTGGAGAGTAATTATGCATTATTATTACTATATTGTCTAATAGTGTTATAAAAAACTCCGAGAATTCCACTAAGATATCTTTAATCATTTCTAAGATACAACAGTTAAAAGCTCAATCTAACAAATGAACAATTTTGCTTTTACTCAATACGGGCAATTTTATGCTGTTACACCTGGCATATATATATATATATATATATATATATATATATATATATATATATATATATATATATATTTATAATTAAATGATTTAAATATGTTTTTTTCATACACACAGTTCTAACCCTGTTTCAAAAATATTTTGAAACATGGTTAGAACTGTGTAGCGAAAAACATATTTTAAATCATTTAATTTATGATATTAATGCTTTGTAAATTTATATTGAGCACTATTTTGTAAAAATAAAAATATCTATAAGAACACCGGATTATATATCTTACTGTTCTTTCTTTTTTTTTATTTATATATATATATATATATATATATACACACACACACACACACACACACACACACATATATATATATATATATATATATATATATATATATATATATATATATATATATATATATTAATGTATATTTGGGTAACAACCTTTCTTTTAAAACATCTTTCATTCACCCTTTGAGCCCTGTGTTCCTGAACAATTTGAACCCTTCTGCCTGAGCTCCTGAGTCAAAATTCGCAAATAATTGGTATGTAATGTTTCACGGTAGATATAAAAATAGTTACAAGTGTTTACCAACCGTTCAACCGGTAGCTGGGCATTAAGTCATTTTTCTCTACCACCGTTCAACCGGTAGCTGGGTATTACGTCATTTTTCTCTACCACCGTTCAACCGGTAGCTGGGTATTAAGCCATTTTTCTCTGCCACCGTTCAACCGGTAGCTGGACATTAAGTCATTTTTCTCTACCACCGTTCAACCGGTAGCTGGGTATTACGCCATTTTTCTCTAACCACCGGTAAATCGGTGGTCAGGGCTCAAAGGGTTAATTACGGCAGTCAAGGAAGATTTAATTAATTTTTATTAAGTTTTATTTCTTCCAGCATCCTAACGTTTTCCCGTTTTCTAGAAGTAAGAGAGTCCAAAGATTTTCCTTCCTTATTTCCCCTAGCCATTTTCAAGAGTGTTTTGCCTTTTGTTGGTAATGTTTTGACTGTTACGTTGTATATTATTTTTGTGTTGTTTTGAACAGGAGCGTTCATTTCGAGGCTCAACGCTTTGCGCACGTCTGGAATTAGCGTGAGCATCTTTCAATATTTTAAAAAAAACGTTAGCACTCCATTTCCACAGTTAAATAATTGATGATAGGTGATAAATGTTTGATTCACATGACCTCTCCAATAGCGAGATGTTTCTGATAATGTGACTTATATATATAGGCTTCTAGCATGAAACAGACTGTCGCCTCTAAGTGTTCACTTCAGTGTTCACTTTTATATTTACACACGCTCTATCTATATTGAGCACTTTATCCCATAAATATAGCACACCTTAAGACTATATTTCTGCATATAGATAGATAGATAGATAGATAGATATACTAGCTTAAATTTGTCCGTGCATCATGTGTAATTGTTCCACCATAGCAAATTTAGTCAGATTAAGTACTGAAGAACTAAACGCGTAAGAAGTAAACATTTTCCACTTTGTCATACAATTTCCCCAATACTGTTCTTGATATATAAATATATATATATATATATAAATATATATATATGTGCGTGTGTGTGTGTGCGTGTGTGTGCGCGTGTGTGTGTGTGTGTGTGTGTGTGTGTGTGTGTGTGTGTGTGTGTGTGTGTGTGTGTGTGTGTGCTCACGCGCTCGCCTTTGGTTTTACGTTTCTACTGATATAAAGTGGAGCGATCACACTGAATCAATTGCTTGGTCTGCTGCTAAATAAGTTGCTTTACTGTGTTCCATACATTTTTTTTAGTTAGAATCCATCTTATTATTTATAAATCTACCATTTTTTCGTCTATATATTTCAAAATCCTAGACAAAACCCCCAAAAAGTTTTGCAATGTGATCGGTCTTGACCTGGCATCTCAACTTTAGTCACTGTCCCAACCGCCGTGATTTTTGCTTCCATCTGTCTATTCTATAAATATTTTCACGGCAATTTTCCTCAGGAGATTTTCTCTTTGGAACCTCGATAGCATAAATTTAAGCGAACAATTAGATTGGCAATTAGGTCTAATCGTTTTATTGTTAAAATAGTTAGATGTAACCGAGCTTTCTATTCTAACTGTTTCTTTTCTCGTACTTCTGGCCTGCGAAAATTCTTTCGTTTTTTGGACCCCTACAATATGGAATCTTCAAAAGTGTAAATGAAACGCCAATCGACATTTTCTCTCTTCCCGAAGCCAATTCGTTTATTGTCCTTTCTCCTCACGCAAGTCCTCCCATTCGCTTTCACTCACAGTGACCACACGTGTCTTAGTAACATCATCGCCTTGCTTGGAGTGAAACATTCTCAGTGACATTATCGACTTGCTTGACGTAATATATATATATATATATATATATATATATATATATGAAGAAAAATATATACGGAAAAAAACAAACAACAATCCTTATATACAATTATGTTGTTTTAATGTTAATATGTCAACGTCGGACGTTTCGGTCTAATAAACCATCTTCAGGACATATTCATAAATTATAACATCATCAATACAACATTTCACAGCGTCGCCCACGTGACGACAACGTGACCATGTTTTAAACGGAGCGCTGATCTTATAAAACTTTCAGTTATCTGTTTGGATAAGTCTTGTTCTTATGTACATCGTCTTTGTCATATTGTATTGATAATGTTATAATTTATGAATATGTCCTGAAGATGGTTTATTAGACCGAAACGTCCGACGTTGACATATTAACATTAAAACAGCATAATTGTATATGAGGATTTTGTTTGTTTTTCCGTATATATTTTTTTTCATCATATATATATATATATATATATATATATATATATATATATATATATATATAAAATATGATTGATTTTTTACTAAGATACATTTCTATCCGGAGAGAATCGATGTGCAATGAGAAGCAATCGAGGATACGGAATATGTCGTGATGTTGTAGATTTCAATTGTTTTTGTTTCAT